TGCCCTCACTCTCTGCGCCGCACCCCACCGCGCTCCCCATTTCTCTTTCTGTTTCTTTTTCTTCGCTGCCTCGCAGCCCACTGGCTCTGCTGCGACGCTACTGCCACCACCACCACCACTGTTTTTACTGATGGCAATGACGCTGACGGTGCGGCGCCGTGCGGTGTGCGCCCTGGCGCTCCTCGCGCTGCTCTGCTCCTCGTTTGTGTGCGAGGCTAATCCTGATGAGTCTCAGACGACCGGGGATGTGAATGTGTCGGTGGAGGTGTCGTGTCCGACCGCCGGCAACAAGTTGCGTTGGCGCCTTTCTGGCACGAGTAATTCTTCCTGGGCGCCTTGCCCTTTTGAAATTGGAAATTTTCTGAACGGCGGAAGCGACAAAGTCGGCGCCTCCCTCTGCCTCTTTGCTGGCTCGCTCTACGAAGACCCCGCCTCCAACGTGAAGGCGAACTGCCCCTCCTTCGACTCCGCAGCCGGCGGCACTGGCAAGGCCGCGTTCACGATGAACTGTGCTACTGATGAAAGCAGTGCGCTGTACAATCTGTCGAAGGGCGCAACTGCTGCCGCCACCACAGTTGAGGAGTCATACGAGTGTGCGTTGCAAACCGTCGGTCAAGTCACGGCTCAGCGGGACGAGGGTGCGTCTCGGGGAGAAAAGGGAACCGGCGCGAAAGAGCAACCACCGATACAAGCTGCGGCCCCGCCAGTAGGCACGGCAGAGGGCGAGGCACGTGGATCCGGAGAAGCGGACGCTTCTTTAACCCATGAACGCCCTTCCGGCGCGCCCCATTCCGCCACCACGACGACGACCACCACACGCAGCCCCAGTGCTGGGAAACACACAAAAAGCAACGCGGACAGCAGTGACACCCTCGCCGCTGCGTGGGTGCGTGCACCAATGCTGCTGCTCACTGCCGCCCTTGCCTGCGCTGCTGGGCAGTTGTGAGGGGAAAACCGCGGCCGCACACACCCTGGCAGGGGGGTGACGTGCACGCTTTTTGTGCTCAGTTTCCTTGTCGTCCCTGTGGGTCAATCCTTCTCTCCCTCCTGTGCTCTGAGGGATTTTTTTATTTTCCTTTTTTTCTTGCTTCGTCACCCCATGCACGTTCCCGCGGGCACCGCACCCTTTTCCCCCTCCTGTTTGCTGCCGCCGCCTACACACGCGTTGACGACCGCATTGCTGTGCGCCGCACGGAGTGCCGAAGTGAGGCACAAGGCCGCTGCCACCGTGAGGTGCAACCTTGATGTGTGCGTGTGCTACCGGGGCAGTTGTTTCGTTTTTTTATTCGTGCAGGTACTTACTATACACACACTCTCTCACGCTCCTCTTGTGCTGCTGGACATGTGAGGTGAAGCAACACCACCTGCCGAAGTGAGTTCGTTTTGTTTTCATTTAATTTTGGGAGGGGCGCTGCGGGGTTTCCATTTCTTTTCTTTTGGTTTAATTTTTTTCATTGGGGCAACTCACTGCGGCTCACGCTGAGTTTGTGCGCCGTGTCCGCCGTTGTGTCGCTGCGTGTCTCCGTGTCTTGTTTCCCACTGCCACCGGCTGTGCCGCCGACACGCCCCCATTTCCTCCTCCTCCTCCTTCCCGCTAGAGGCAACTTTAGTTTGCGGCGACGACGGCTCTTTTTTTTGTTGTCCGCTGCGGCAGAGCAGCCGCAGGCTGTGCGGCGGGCTTTGGACCCGCCCCGTCCCTCTCGCCGCGTGCCTTGTCGGGCGTGCGGTGTGCGCTGTGCGGCCGGCTTCTCCTCCGCGTGTCTTCCCCATCGCAGGACGGGGGCGTCGCGCACTTCGCCTGCGCCGTGCCGCCTGCTGCGGCGTGTGTGCGGGGCTCTCTTTTTGCGCCTCGCCCCCACACTTCTCTGTGTCTGTGTGTGTGAAGGGAGTGCGGCCGCGAGGGGTTCGTCCGTCGCCGCCACGGAGGCGCAGACAGCCGTGCTGCGCCAAAAAGAAACAAAAAAAGCTGCACGACGCCTGCGGGAGGCGGCGTCGCTTCGCACGGCTTCTCGCATGATGCGTGCGCCCTGCGGCTGCGGCGGCTGCGGCGGTGC